ACCGGCAGGCCGGTGCCCTCCCAGCCACTGCTCTTGGGCAGCGGTCGCTCTGGAAATATTGCAGACGACCGGCTTTATCCACTTTCTCTCTGCTCTGGGCATGTCCTTGAGGAGAGCGGCCGGAGCAATGAGCTGGGGACACGTTGCCTTAGTGGGAATATACAGAGGCAGAAAATGGGAAGGAGCGGGACGAGGCGCTGCGTACAGCTATCGCTGTGGGATGCAGGGATCGCAGGGCCGCCGCGGACCACTGGGATCGTCTGGCTTCACCCCCCGCACAGCACAGGGCGCGGAAGCGCCGGCAGTTAGTGCCTGTTCCGAGGCGGGTGCTGGTGGCTCAGCAGCAGGGTCTCTTTCACCCAGAGCCTGGCTTTCGGGTGGATTTGAAATGGGCTGCTTGGAGCGTGCTGGCACTAACCTACCTTTGTCTGCGTGCGCCTGTGTGTATACTTTTATATATATATGTTTATATATATACACACACATCTATGTGTGTGTGTGATCGGTGTATTGGCGCTACTGTGTGTCCTGAATCTTTCCTCCAGGCTGGAGTTCAGCCCGTTTGGAGCACGGTTACGTGTTTTGCAAATGATAAAACCTCTTTGTGCAAAAGCTTCACCTGAATTGCTCTAAAAATACCGTGCAGCTGCCTGTGGAGATTCCCAACATTGTGTGTGTGTGCGCGTGCGCACGTGTGTGCGCGCAGCCTTTTCTGCCTGTGCTGTCTCCTGTCTCTCTGTGCAGTGCTCACACCTTTGGTTTCTCCTGTGTCTGTTTAAGCCAGGGCAGATTATATTTGGTGCGAAAACGCATCACACCACTTTCTGCATTCTGAACCAACTGGAATTCCATCAGCAGGATTCGGTCAGTGCGGGCAAGGTTTTGCTTCTGGTTGTTACAAATCTTCACCCAAATGAAGCCCAGTTTCTGTCGTTAGAGAAAAGCTCCCAAATGTCAATGTGCAGTTTGTCATGTACAGTGTAGTTGTCCTAAATGTGATACTGCTGGTGGAGAGGAGTATTTGCAGACGCTTTCCCCAGAGGGAAGGGAGAGGCTGCAGAGTGCTGCAGCTTTATCCTCCGTGACCAGCTCTGGGGAAGCTCGCAGGGCAGCGTCCGGTGGGCTGGGAGGATTCTGCTGGTCCCCATTTATAGAGGAGCCTTTGCCAGAGGAGATTTCCCGGCCATAAGCCCTCCCCAGTGCGGTCACTACCTAAACCAAGGAGCGGAGGAGCTGCGTGGCTGCCCAGCCCCATGCCCTCCTCCCCTCTCTAGGTCCATCGTTTCTCCTTCC